CACCAGTTTCAACAGTTTCTACTCGACATCCAGGCTGAATACGGAGATGTTGTGTATCACAACGAGGTAAGATGGCTCAGTCGGGGGTCTGCACTGCAGCGCTTCTACTCTCTTAGGGAGGAAATCGGACAATTCTTGGCAAAAAAGGGACAACCGATGCCAGAGCTATCTGATCCTGTTTGGCTGGCTGATTTTGGATTTTTAGTTGACATAACACAGCATCTGAACGTGCTGAACATGAGCCTTCGGGCAAAATGCAGTGGTAAGCCAACTGTATTCACATATCAAAGCCTTTGAGACCAAGCTGCTACTTTTCCAAAGGCACCTGTCACAAACGCAGCCCAATACCACACGTTTCCCATCACTGCAGGAAATAATGACCAGTTTTCCACAGAACAATATGAGTATGCAAATGAGGTATGAAGCAGACATCTCATCTCTGGTTGAGTTTCAACAGTGCTTTCGGGATTTTGCAGCTATTGAAAAGGAGATCACGCTTTTTTCATCTCCTTTCTCTGTGGACCCTGATGACGCTCCAGACCACCTGCAGCTGGAGCTCATTGAGCTGCAGTGTGACGCTGAGTGTCGCAGTCGGCACCAACGGCTCCCTCTTGTCAAGTTTTACTGCCAGCTGGATAAAGGCAGGTTCCAAGAGATTTGAACATTTGCTAAGAAAATGCTGAGCTTGTTTGGTTCGACATACTTGTGCGAGAAGACATTCTTGGTTATGAACATTAACAAGAACCACGTGAGGACGAGACGAAGTGACTTTCACCTGCATGACATCTTGCGCATCAAAACCACTGTTTTTGAGCCAGACCTGGCCTATATAATGCAGTCGAGATCTCAGTATCACCCTTCACATGAATGCAGTTATTTGTTTAGTCTTTCATAAAATACTTCATTTGCATTTAATGTTAATGGTTCAAAGAATGTCAGGCTGAATGGTCGGCCCCCACACATTTTCACCTCACCAAATCTGGCCCTCCTTGCAAAAAGTTTGGACACCCCTGGTTTAACCCAATGGCCACCTTACTCTTGACCACCCAAGCACTTTAGACTTTTCTCCTAGGTAAAGCACAGTGTCTTTGGTACTTCTGATTAACTGTTTCTCTGTCTTCCTTTTAGTATCCTTTTAGAAATGTGGCAATCAGAAACATACATCATATTCCAAGTATGACTGCACCACAACTTTATATAAGTATTGTTCCCTTCTGCATCATATTTTTGGACCAACATCTATATTACTGCTAAGAAATTATCTAAAGGTTTTATTTTTGTTTTTCTCAAGACAATAAGGAGTCACACAGGCAACATTGTATTTTTTCTTTAAAAATCTCACTTTTCTTGTGAGTCAAAAATCAAAGCTAAGTGCAAAATAGCAGTTATAAAAATAAAATACAGTTGTAACTGTATCACAGAAAAAAGGGGGAGCATTGCCTCACATTCCAGCAGAATAAATAGCCGCCTCAACTTTCCCAGCGGGCTTACAACTTGCCTAATGTATGTGGCGAAAGAAACCTAAGAATGGAGTCCAGCTGGTTTCTTGGGATTGTGGCTCAGTGACACAGCACATGCCCTATGATCTCCCTGGCAAAGGGCAAATGCAAGCTGAAGAGACAGGATTGTAGCTTAAAACTGAAGGCAAATGGTCAAGAACACCTAATTACTTCAAACAAGTTCGGCTCTCCAGGGCCCAATGAGCTTCATCCTAAAGTAATAAAGGAATTGGCAGAACTCCCAGAACCAGTGTCTATTACCTTTGAGAAATCATGGAGAATGGGTGCCAAATGACTGGAAGAGGGCTAATGTTGTCCCCAACTCCAGAAAGGGAGAAAAAAGAACCCAGGAACTGAAAACCAGTCTGACATCAATCCCTGGGAAATTTCTGGAACAGATCATAAAGCAGTCAATCTGCAAACACCTTGAAAACAATGAAGTGATTAGTAGAAGCCAAGTAGTTTCTCAGGAACAAATCCTGCCTGGTCTCATTTTTTAATCATGTAACCTCCCTGGGGACTATGAAATGCTGAGAACTTAATGTATTTAGACAAAATGCCCTATGATACCCTGATTTGCAAGCTAGCTAAGAATGGGCTAGGTGGAACAACTATCATGTGGATCCACTGTTAGCTAAACAATCAGACTCAAAGAGTGCTTATCAGTGGTGCATTCTGAAACTGGGAGAGGTAACAGTTGGGATACTGCAGGGTTCATTCCTGGCCCCAGTGCTCCACATTTTTATTATTGGTTTGGGTCAGTTGGTGCAAGGAATATTTATGAAATTTGCAAAAGACACAAAATTGGATGAGGTAGCAAGAAGGATCTTGGAACTGTTGATCACATGCAGAATATGAGTCAACAGTGTGATGTTGACAAAGGCAAATGCTATTTTGGTCTGCATTCATAGACGTATCTGTTCCAAATCACATGTACTAGTTGCAGTCTACTTGGCATTGGTTGAGCATCGTGTTGTGCATGTTGAAGAGTCTAGTTTCAATCCCTAGCATCTCCAGGGAGAGCTGGAAAAACTGCCTGAAATGTCACTGCCAGTTAGTGTTGACAATGCTGACTAGATGGACCAATAGTGTGATTCTGTATAAGACACCAGATTCTGTATAAATACTCGTAGCATCCCTGGGAAGGCTATGACACAATGTTGGCACTGCAACTGATACTCTGCCCCTCGTATTCACCCCCCGCCCATTGACCTTCTGTTCATCAGTTCATCATTTTCTGTACAGTTCATCATTTTCACAAGAAAAACACAATGTTAACCATTGTGCCTGGAACAGAGACATAAATGAATAAATCACTAAAAATAACAGCTTATTTAGAAGTAAATAATATTTACTTCTAATTTAGAAGTAAAATATATTGCAACACTTTATTTATTTATTTAGAGTATTTGTATGCCATCGCATCGCATAGCCTTGGGACGGCTTACATAAAATAAAACATAATACAAATAAAATCCAGATCCACCCTGGTCCCGTTATTTTTTTTAAAAAAACAGTTTTGCTGCCTCAATTTAAAATTTATTTATTTTTAAACTTTTTATATGCCGTCCGATACCACAGTTTCTGGGAGGCTTACAAAGAAAAAAAAACAAAAACAGCAACATACCAACAAACAACACACTGCATCTGACCATAATGATAAAATCAAAGATAAAACCAATTGAGCTTACTAAGCCACATTATTCATCTAAAGCACCTGTATAACCCACCTTTCTTCCAGAGAATCAGGATACATGTTATATGTTAAGCACAAACTTTAGCTTCTTTACCGAGAGGTAAGTGGGAAAAAATTGATGAATCATGCTGTGAATAACAAATTTGTTTACCATATGAACATAGGACGCTGCCGTATACGAAGACTCTGCACACAAGCCAAGTTGCCCTAGCATTGCCCCAGCAGCCAAGCATCCGATAGCAGCATACACAGGGGCCATGTGCATGCTTGGAAAGGAGTAGTGGTGCCAGGCGATGATGTCACAAATCATGACTCATTAGCTGCGACTTGTTCGAGCTCTCACATGGCCAGTCAGTGCACAAGGTTAGATATATATTTGCTTGGACTGGCTGTGAGTTGTTTTTTCTAAACTAAAACCTCAGTTTCCAGGTTTTATTGCAGTGTTGGCACTTACTGATAAATGTGGGTTTTGGGTTACAGTTTTGGCACTCGGTCCCTAAAAGGTTCGCCATCACTGGTCTATCCAGTCCAGTGTTCTCAACACTGAGTGGCACTAGCTCTCCAGGGTTTCAGACAGGTGTTTCTCCTGATGTATTAGGAGATTGGATCTGAGACCACCGACATCCAAAGCATATGCTTCTATTACTGAGCTACAACCTCTCCTGTAAAAACATTATTCTTCACTCCAAAAAATTGAAGAGCACTAGCCCAAACACTAGCTTCTGGGAAAAGCTGTAGTTATACAATACCATATGCCTACACACATACATACAACTTCTCTTTCCTCTTCTGTACCTGTAGTTACTATATCATTGTTAAAATGCTGTATTATTTTAGTGAATTTGGAAATGCTTCTTAAGAGTTTTATATGCATAGAAATGTAAAATATATACCTATACTAAGACAAAGACTTGGCTTGCTCATGGGATCTGACTTACATAATTTGACCTAAGGATGTTCTCACGAACTTGTCTGTAACCAGGGGACTACCTGTATAGGGCTTCAGCTCTCTTTGGCCCACTTTGCTCTCCTTGGCAGGAAGCTTGGCATAGCTTCCAGACTATGCCTTCAGTATATCTGAGAGGTTTCTCATAGTACAATACCTGTGTTTGAGGCTCCAAAAACAGAACTTATTTACTACGTTTTTTGGTGTGAACTGCATGCCAATCTCATGAAAATATATCTTGTTCCTTTGCGGGGTGGAATCTCTGAGAGACCTTTGACTGACCAGCTGAATGAACTATTTGTAGATACGGATCCTTAGGCCATTATCAACTAGCTCCGCAAATTTAGCGATAGAGGAAAGCCGCGAGCGGCGAAACGAAGGGCTTCGTAGGAGCCTTCTGCAGAAGAGGAACGCGCTCGCCGCAGCCTCCTCCGGCGCTTCGCTGGAGTCAAACTTGCCGCCCTCGCCAGAACCTGCCGTTGGCGGCGCGAGGGGTGGGCGGGGCTTCCTCCAGCACGACTTCCGGCCCCAGCGCCTGTGTCCTGTTTCCTCTCTCCGTGACAGCAACGGAGGCGGCGGCGGAGGAAGCGGGAGAAGGAAGGAGTTAGAACTGGTCATACTGGGTTGGGGGGTGTGCTGAGGTGGCCGCCATGGCATAGCCGAGTCGGGGTCGCTGCCAGTCAACCACGCCCCGCAGCGGGGCTGCCCTTTTTCTTCAGGTTGAGGTGAGCGGGGTGTCTCCAGGCTCTCACTTGGGGCGAGGGCGGTGCGTGGCCTTGAGACCCTGAAGCGGAGAAGGGCCTGTTCTCCCCCGTTGTGGAATCGCAGGCGGGGCCTGCACGGTTTAAAGCCACGGCCGATAAGGGAAGAACGAGAGTAGCTTGGGCCCCTGTTACCTTCCACTGCTGTTTTCCACCCTAGAGACAGTTCCTGAGTGGCTGACAGCAGGCTTAGGGAAAGGGGAAGTAGGAGCCGAGCTTTCTGCGATGAAACAGGAACAACAGGCTGTGGATCATCTTCCAGCTGAGACCGAGGTGTTGCTCCAGCTTTAGGTTTAGGAACTGGAATGCGTTTCAAATGCTGCTGAGTTTATTCCCCCTAAGCGGGATAGAACGCTTGTTGTAGTTCTAACTTCACCTGTCAATAGATCAAAACATGTAAACAGCTTTGCTTTTGGGTGATGAGAACCACTTAAAACATTCAGTGCCAAATGGTATTGACCATAATTTTGTGCCTAACTGAGGCAGATTTTATACTGAAAACGTATTTGTAGGGCTGTATCTATATAAATGCATGTATGTTGTTCATGTTTTGCTAGCCAGGAGCTGCAGTACCTAATACCTGGGCTTTTACCTGGGTTTTTTTCCTTGCTTGCCCAGTTATTGAAGGGTTTGATAAAACTCCTGCTACACTTATCAGATTTTTTCTAAATGCATTGTGTATGTTAGAAGACTTCTATGTAGAAAATAATCTCTGCTTCATATACTACAGATTTTAAATATCGCTTTCTGAATTTATCTGTAGCCATATTTCCTGTGATTTCCATAAATTTTATGTTCTATTCCTACAAAAAGCTGCTTATGCTATGTACCCAAGTGAAAATACTAAAAATTTATGGTGAAAGCAGTGGAAATTGAAACCCACATAACAATGCTTAGAAGCGTGCAGCAGAACTATGGTTTCTTGATTGAGTTGGGCTGCAGTTTGGTATCCATTTACCTGGAGAATAGCACCATTGAACTTAATGGTTAAGACTGAATTGTTACTAGTTTAAAAAGTAGGTCAGAACAACTTTTACAGGTTTGTAGTACATGGTATAAAAGATAAGTGAGCAGCATTAAGTGTATCCAGATTGTTTGAAAGGGAATATAGTTATGTGCGCACAAATCCTTTTCTTAATGTTAACCATAACATTAACCCGTGCATTCTTAATGTTTTGGGCAAAGAAGAATTCTGAATACTATCCAGTCTTTGTGAACCCTGAATTGCTTTATTTATTATTTTTCTATACTGCCCATTAGGCAGAACTTATGTAAATCATAGATTATTTTTATGCAAAATTTTTGGGAAAATTATGCCTTAAAACATTTTTAAAAATCTCCATTTCTGGAAATCCATTGGCCCACTGCAAAAGTCAATTGGAGACTGAAGCTGATGGTGGGCGCAGTTAAATTTGATGGTGGGCAGGGTCAAAGGTGATAGTAGGTAGACTTTACAAAATTTCATAGCATAGCTATTTCTCTGTCTGTGCTACTCTACCTGTTGTGCACATATGTAAACATAAATATACAAAGTGAAAGAGGAAGCAATTTTCAGAAAGAGAGAGCAGCCCTGCGGGTTTTGGAAAGTTGTATGTTCCTCAGACCACAGGTTTTCCAACTCAACCTTAAATGATGGATAGATGCTGATTTTTCCCTTGCATAGCTGAGCACTAAATGCTTTTGGTAGTTTTTTAAATATGTTATTGAATAATTTCCTTGTTCTCTCTCTCTCTCTCTCTCTCTCTCTCTCTCTGTACCCAATATAATCTCATCTCATTTATACATTTTCAAATGTCATTGTTCTTTGCATTTCTGTGCTTGAATAATTTTAATGCTTTAAGAGTAATGTTGCTATGCAAGGTGAAGTAGCTTTCCTTTGTATTCTACTGCCAACACAAAGCATGCAGTTTAGTTATAACTTACTGCATTAGATATTAATTTAGCACATACATACTAAAGTGTCAGAAAGCTCTGTCTGATGTCATGTTTCTGCTGAACATATATGAAAGAAATAGGTATATGTGTGTCTTTCAGAGAGAATGAGGAAGTTCTTATCATGGGTGAAAAATATATGCAGTATCCAATCTGAAACTGATGTGGGTATGCATTTTTTTAACAAACAAAATTTATTTATTTAGTACATTTCTATCCCATCCTTTGCACAGCCTCAGGACAGCTTACAACAGTTAAATAATCATATAAAATACAATTAAAACATTCAATAATAAACATTAAAACTTTCAATAATAACAACTGTTCAAAATTAAAAGAAAGAAAGAAAAAGAAAATGCGACTATAAAAATGTTATTAATTTCTTATTAAATTATTTAATTATAAAAAGGATGGGTAAATAAAAAGGACTTTACCTGGTGCTGGAAAGAGTAGAGACTCGGCGCCAGGCGAAATTGGCCTATGTGGAAAACCATGCAAAATCCACTGTTGGGTAATATTTTTATTAGGGTAAACGAAAAAAACTGCAAAAGAAGCTTTCAAGTTCTTCAGAATCTTTAGGTTGTGGTACAAAGACTAGAAGGTAGTGGCAAAAACAAAGGAATACAAAGACCAGGGCACTTGTGACCATGAGGGCTGCAGTTTAGACTCAGTTCAAAGATAGAAATCATAGACTAAAAGGTGCAACCCCATGCATGTTTGGTCCTACAGCTCCCAAGATACGATGGGTTTCTGCAGGAGTTGTTACGGTATTTTGCCTGTCATCTAAATCCAGACAACCAAACCTACTTTGGATATAAGGAATTGGCTAGTGACCACCATAGAAAAAGCTGTAAAATACCCTTGCTACTCTTGACATGGGGCTTCTAGCTGTTCACAAGTGCCAGTTACCCTGCAAGTGCCCCAGGAACACTGGAAGCAACTGCTAATGGCTTTTGCACCTCTGCACTGCAATTACTTGTTACTTGGGGTTTGCTATTATATTTTTTCTCTTTAATTTTTTTTGCTGAAGATATCACAAAAGCCAGCTGTCAAGCTGTCAGTGTGAGTATCATGAAAGCCAACTAGGAGCAGGCCCTTAAAAGTGGCCCAGTGTTACATTTGGAGGGGCTGCTTATGGTTGCTTCTAGGATTTTTTAGCTCCCTGAAGTTTTCACAGATATTTGCAAACATATTTTAAATACACATATTTCATATTTTTACACATTTGCACAACTGTGGGGATGGGGAGCCATGTGTGGACAATGTTCAAGGCGGCGGCGGCGGCGGCTGGCAAAGTCCCATGAGTACCCACCCTGACATTGTCCCTCAGAAGCAGCAGGTAGGATTTCCCCCACATTTGGTTACATCCCTGGTTGTCAAAGCATAAGCTGTCAGATGTAACCAAATATGTGAGTGTTCTTTCATCACAAAAAGGGAAAGTGATTTATTTACCCTCATTGTAGCAAAATCTGTTGGGGTTTTTTGAGAGAGAACCTTAGGGATACATCAGGAAAATGCAAAAACTGTGAACCACCCCATTTAAAGAAATATTAAAGGTCAACCAAAAAGCAACTCATTCCTCTTTCAATGTACCCTGGCATATTGCAGAAGGACCAAGAAGAAGGGAGGAGCCAACAACCTATAGCGAGCCTTTTCATCTATCAGACACATTGTGGATTGAGCTATCAATCCACTGTGGTGTGTTGCCAGGTGGTATGGTATGATGTATGAATGCAACCTACCTTGTCAGAGGTCTTGTAGAAAGAGTGTTAAGGAAGTGTTCTGTTGATGGAGCAAAGACTCAAGGCCTGTACTTGCTTAATTTAGCTGATTATGATTAATTGTTACAAATTATGAAAGAAATCAGTGGATCATATAATTTAGCTTTATCTCAGTAGGCCAACAGTATGATGACCTATAGGTACATGAATCTCTTCTATTTGGAAGTCATTGATGATTGTCTAGTTTTCAATAGATAACCATTGTTCTTTTTATGCATATAAAGAATGTCACAATTAAAAATGGCCACTTCCCCCCACTCTCATAATTCTGACTTCTTTAAGTTTAATGATAAGTAATTATATGAGCTAATCTGAAAATACTTGACTTCCAGACTTAAACAATATAGCTATACTTCAAATTTTCATTTTTTTTCTTGAACTTTGTTCAGAGCTAAATTATAGAAATATCTTTCCATGAGCTGAGTACTGTTTTTATGGTCCTCTTTTCAAGATACTTAATATTGTCCCAGTCTGTTTCCTGTGGAAACATTTTCCAGAAAATTAAGGTTTAGATCAGTGGTCCTCAAATTTCTATGGGCTGCCACACCTTTCCTCTTGGGCGACAATCCTAGTGCCCCCACTCTTCTCCTTTGTGTTAGGTCTATGACTCTGCTGCACATTTAAAACCAAACACTGCCCCCCTGGATGTTTCCTCTGCTCCCAGTACAGCCCATTTTAGGAATTACTCGTTTAGAATAATACATGAATTGCTTGTTGAATGTAATTTTTTAAACGTGGAGCTTAAAATGGAGTTAAATGTTCTTTGATGTAATAAACAGATCTGCCCACCTGTACAGGTGTACTCCACTCCTTTTGTACAGCAAATCAAAAGATGAGAATCTTGCAGTTATTTGTTTGTATCAATTAAATAACAAATTATGGGTAGAATCCAGGGTTAGTTTCTGCTGATAGTGACATGCTGTGGAGTTACCTTCAAAATGGTCTTACTGGCAGAAGTGGGGGTGGGAGAATTTGCACTGCCACTTCCTCTACTGTTTCAGAAAGCCTGCAATCTCATCACGGTAGATTTTTGGGATTATAGGGAGGTACAGAGAGAGGGCAATTCAATGAAAATCACTTCTTCATTTGTGTCATCAACTGGATTCTTCCTCTGGATCAGATATTCTATACAAACAGAAAAACCTTCTGCTCATAGGAGGCAAAACCTCAATCTAACCATACTTATTTAAGGAATCTCAAAATATTTGAGCATACTTTCAAATTTGTTAACCAGTCATCTGTTCTATTAAAGGCAAGGGTAATCATCTACAGCATGTTACAAAGGTTATCCTAATACAGTACAGCAATTTATTTCCTGAATGAACTCATTCCAAGCATTAGTTTGGGTAGTTTCTCAAAATGGGTAGCAAATTTGATTCCTGTGCTTATTACTTCTCACAGTCAAGGGGATGTTTATTCAAATGGTCAACTGAATTTTAGTAACTATTTGAGTCTGAATTTTTTCTGATATTATTATTATTAATGTTGTTGTTATTGTAATAAAACAATAATGTTGTTATTATTTATTTTTAATTGTGTATTTTGAAGCCAAAGCCAAAATTGGAATCTTAACATAGACTGCTTAGTCATGTGGATGATGTGCTCATGTGTTGTCTGCTTCTTCTTTAACACTTAAATTGTAGGAACAAGTGTTAATTGTGTCAACAGTCACTGGAAGCATAAACTGGATTTTTATCCATACTGATGATTTTTAAGAAGAATAAGAAACTGATTTTAATCTACTGCTGTTGCTTATTTCAGTTTAAATGAATATTGAGACAATGCTTGCTGAAAAGCATAATTAAGTAGATCATATTAATATTATGTTGTATTGGTGTTTTGGTTACTGTAACTTCTAAGATGGATTTGAAATTTATTTTCTTTGTAGGCAAACAAACTAGATTATATTCATAACAATGGAGTCCATGCTAAACAAATTGAAGAGTACTGTTACAAAAGTGACTGCAGATGTCACTAGTGCAGTCATGGGAAATCCAGTTACCAGGGAATTTGATGTTGGTCGGCATATTGCTAGTGGTGGCAACGGGCTTGCTTGGAAGATTTTTAATGGCACTAAAAAGTCCACAAAACAGGTGAGACTTTAAGTGGGAAATACATATTGCTTCTAAAATAACCACAGTTTTTCAAGGATATGTTGACCAGTGGTTGCAGAATATAAAAGACTCACACTATGTGTAACATGCATCTTATTCATACAAGTGATATCCATGTTCATGGTAGTATTTTAAAGTTTTCAATGTTTAACAGATTGAAAGAACTGAATTTCTAACCACAGTTTCTCAGATACAACATTTAAGAAAGCGTATTTTCAGAAGGACTTAATGCAAGTAAATGCACTATCTTTCCTAATTTATTGCAACTCTTTTGTGCTTGCATTTTTTCAAACCAATGGTATTATTTTGTTTGACAAGTATAGAAATATATTTATTTATTTAGGAGACTTCTATGCCGCCCCATTCGCCGAAGCCTTGGGGCGGCTTAAATCCTAAGTAAACTTCCATAAAATAATATAAATTAACAGTATAAAAGAAATGTATTTAGTTTTAGAATAAAGTTTCAAGTTCTAAATGTATTTGAATTTTGGTCAGAAAGGTACCTGTGATACTTAACATATCAGTTCTTCCTATATCAATTTCGAACCTAGCTTTTGTCATATTTAGTCATTTTATGACCCCAGACAAACTACCTGGGGCAAGAAAAATGCTGCATATGAAATACCTTTTTTGGCTGAATGTTTCTGCAAGAAAGTTTGTCAGCATAAAGTTTCAGCTAGTATAGGTAATTTTAGTTGCACTCTTTCCTGCGATAATGCATAATAATAAAATCTGCATATTGGTTTTTTGACCTTTCCTGTATGTAACAGTAGTGAGGCCTGCAAACTTCAAGTCAGCATAAATGATATGAAATTCAAATTGCTTGCTTGTGGTTTTAGCTCAGACTCTTAGCGTTCAAAAGAGGCTAAGATGATCTATAGTTGATCTCTATGTGTGATTTTGTATGGGTCATAAAAGTACCTACAGTAATATTCTTATGCTCATTTGGGAACATTATGTTCCCCAGGAATGTTTTGTTTTATAAGGGAAAAAACTGTAAAAGACAAGAGGCTGAACTTTGGGGATGTGTTTACTATGATTTTTGCTATGTCCTAGAAGGACTGGATTGAAGGTATATTTTTGTATAAAGTGCACAACAGAATGTGAGCCTGTGATTGTCCAGGCACAGCATAATGTATGCTGTCACATACGTACATTACCAGAACTTTAGCAAATCATATCATAAAACTAATAACGGTAAAAGGTTATGCATGTCTATTTATTTATTTATTTATTTATTTATTTATTTATTTATTTATTTATTTATTTATTTATTTATTTATTTATTTATTTA